CTAGGGTCCAGGACTTGAACTGTGCATTGGGCCATGTGGGATCCAGTGCCTTAACCTCCACACCACCAGCTTTCTTGAGAATTATGCATGTACAAAGATCTTGAAATAAAGGAATTTGAATCAGTCATTCACTATAGGAATGAATAAGTGGCTACATGCTGATAAAAGTAATCAGCTAAATTTACTAGAACCTCCTAAGACAGAAGAAACAGACCTTAAGAGCATAGTGTTGTAAAAAAAAAAAAAAAGAAGGTGTATAATGGACTTGTCTGGTCATCAAAATATGTAATTTTTCTATATATCCAAATTGATCAGAATGGGGCCTGATGAGGGAAGTGGCAGAGATTGCAGTCTGAGGACACAGGAAAACAATGTAACGGAGGTCAGCGCCTAAAATATTCGTTATGGTTGATGTGAGAAGCATACGACGTCATGTCCACGGAAACAACTTCAACAATACAAATTATTATTTGCATATTAGGAATCTTGGTAAAAAAGAATTCTCAACCAAGAAACTTGGTTTATGTAAAAGACATTGGACAGACTTTGGTCTTAATCAAGAGGAGAGCCAAGACGAGAGAATACTATGTTTGAACTCTAAATGAAACCTGGAGGATTGCTTTCAACCTTTACATTTTTATACTAGGATCTAATGGGAAACAAATGTCATTTTCATTTAAAGAACAGACCAGAATAAAGTAATGCATTTAAAAATGTCCTTTTGTGTTTCTAGTTTTCCTTTTTGCTATAGGACGTGTGCACTTGCTGGAGACAGAAAGGGAGAAATCGTCCTCCAAACGACTGGCCATGTTCTAGTCCCTTCTCTATTCTCTTCTCGGGATTTTAGGCATGCATGCACATGTGTGCGCACACGCACGCGCACACACACGCCTGGCATTTTTTTCAAGCCACAGGATCTGAGGTGTGAACTGCAGTCGGTCGGCCATGTGGGATCCAGCCTCCTTAAACCACCACCCACCTGGCTGGGCCTATAATATATATTGTTAATTTATATGAACTCGCTCTGTAACCATGAACACAGGGTTTTATGGCGTGATTGTGATATGTAACATGGTGTGAAATAGCAGTATGCAAAGCTACAAACTATACCCCAATTTATTATTTTTTTTTAGGTTTTTGTTATAGAGCATATGTGCTCAATGGAGAGACAGATAGTGAGAGAAAAAGTAAGAACCCCCTAACAGGGAAGGCCACGTCACAATCCCTTAATCTCCGTTCTCCTGGAATTTGGGGCATGCATACACATATACCTGGTGTAATGTTTAAGCCACCAGGTCTAGGACTTGAACTGGAGTTGGCCACATGGGAGTCTAAACTGAACCACCACGCTACCTACTGTCCCCCATATCCCAATGCTGAAATATATAGAAGACTTGTCAGTTTTTTATTGCCATTTGTCAATATCAGTCTCTTACCTTTCAAATTAAAAGTTGTCAAGAATTCCTTGACTTTTGCTGATAGAGCAGCCTGTTACTTAACATCCTGATACCCTGGCCCTACTACCTCCATTTGTAATAGGAATTTCGTATTCTGTCAGCAGAACTGTGACGGAGACAAGGTAAGCACTCCTTCCTCACTTTACAAATGAGAACGCAGGGGCTTCAGAGGAACTGGACCCGTACCAGGTCTCAGTGTGGTTACGTGGCTGCCAAGGACAGCATGAGGCCCAGTCTTGGTCTGGTCCTGTCTTCCCTAGGAACTTCTCTGTGTTTTATGTGCGTGGACAGAGTCGTGTGGCTCCGCTCCATGGGGCACTGTTTGCAGGGGTGATTAAAGGGAATGGAGTCCTCGAGTTGAACCATGTGTGGTTACTTGTAGTGGGCAATGTGTGCGCCCTACCTCTGTCCTTCGTGCATAGCACTCCAGTGCACGCCTGCCGAGTTTTAGCTACAGGGTCTGCATCTCTCAGCAGCTGGCAAGACTGGTCCTATCAGAATGCTAGGAAATGACCACTGTTCTCCCAGAGTAGCTTTCCCACCAAAGCCCTAGTCCCTCAGGTGGGGCAAGTCTGAATCCTGTGTTCTACACTGTCTGCCTGAGCTTCACCCCGGGAATTACGCTTCCGCAGCCTAGAGTGTTAGCTGTAACACACCCTTTATTAAGGGCTTGCCCTACTCAGCATCCCCACTGCTTAAACCTTCCAGATAAAGCCCTGGAATCCTTGCCTCTGAGTTTGCTTTTTTTTAAATTAGCCAGAGCACGCACATGCTCACCAGGGAGAAAGGAAAAGGGAGAAAATCCCTAGTGGATATGGTCAGATCACAACCCCTTCTGTTTCTCCATCCTGGAATATTTGGCACATATGCGCGCACACACACACACTGTTTTTCAAGCCACAAAGGCTCGGGATTTGAAACGTAGTCAGCTGTGTGGGACTTGGCTCCCATAACCCCTGAGCCACAGGGCCAGCCCTTTCGAGGGAACTAAAAACTAAGATTTCATGCATGATTAACCCTGTGTTGAAAGAATATCTAGTTATCTAGCAAGCATATTTGGTGTAATATGGAAGTGTGCCAATGATGTTTCTGGATTTAGAAAGAGAAGATGCCTTTTCTAAAGTCTAATAAAGCCTATATTAATATTTAGTCTCATGATAAAAGGCAAATTATCTAACTATTTCTATTTAGGAAACCAACAACCATTACACCTGTTATTATATCAACTCTTTATTAAGTAAAGTGCTCAGTATTAATGAAATTCTTGATTGTCGAGAAAGACTTGCATATGTAATACTTTTTAATGATACCAACAAGGAGGGGAAGATGATTAGGAAGGGATTGGGAGGGAATTCTCCATGATTAAAGAAGAAAAATATATGTAACAGGTAAAAAATTAGGAATTCTATAAAATTTTACAAGTGAGATAAAAACAGTATATCATAAAAAAGGCTTTCTAGTGACCATAATTGATATATGGCACATAGTCAATACACATGGATACCACATAATAGCTGCACTTCAAATCGAAGTTTGTTTACCTGTAACAGGATACACACACATAATCACGTACACAATATCCCTGGAATACCAACTTTTGCACCTGGTAATAAAGAACTTTGCGTAGCATATTTAAACAAAAGTGAAGAGAGAAATGAAGCCATGAGATATAGTTATTAAAGCCAAGATGCTTTCCTTCTATAGAAGCCAACCTAGAAAGGCCTGTTTTGATCACGTTTTCATTGGAAATTAAAAAAACAAAAAAGCAAAAACAAAACAAAAAAAACTTTGCCAGAGGGTGCATGCGTTTGCTAGAAATAGAAAAGGAGTGGGAGAAAGCACCCCCAATAGGTTATGGTCACACTGCAGTTCCTTCTCTTCCATTTCTCCATCTGCTTGGCATTGAGGCATGCACACACAAGTGTCTAACATGTTTTCCAAGCCGCCAGGGCCAGAATGTGTGTGAACCACGTGAGATCTAGTTCCCTTAACCACTACACAAGAGGTCTGGCCATCCTTGGAGAGTCCATGTACACAGTCTACCAATTAAATGAACAACTGGTGAATTGAAAGTAAAATATTAAGAAACAGGCCTTTCTCTCATTGTTTTTCCAAGAGAGGATCATAGCCCAGCACTGCATTCTCTCATTTGTCGCATTCGCTCAAAAGGTTATTTCATTCAACAGTTTAGGAAAAACTAGAATTCTTCTTAATCGACAAACAGAATTTTCCTAAGAAAGTTGGTGAGACCCTCTCCTAATAAAAACAACTGCTGCGTACTCATACTTGGGTTGATACCTTTGATAACACGAACTTTCAATACCAAGGCCTCTGTATTACATTAAGCTCCATTTGGATTATAAATTCTAGTTTTTTTTTTTTTTTCTGGAGAGGTTTTTGCTATAGGGCGTGTGCGCTCACCAGACGGACAGAGAGAGATATCGAGACAGAAAGTGAGAAATCACCCACCAGAGGGGATGGTCATGCCGCAATCCCTTCTCCTCCATTCTCCTCTTGGGATCTTGGGCACGCATGTACACGTGTCCGGCGTGAGTTTTAAGCCACCGGGTCCGGGACGTGAACCGCGGTCGACTACGTGGGAGTCCAGCGACATAGCCATTACGCTAACTGCTGGTTCCCTAACTTCTAGTTTTGAAATGCAGGATCAAGACTATTTGAGTACCATATCCTTAAAACAGTATAAAACCAAAACTTCAGTTTTATAATGCCTTCTGCATTTCAAAACTTCTTACAATTTTGCTTTAAAATGAACATATTTGCTGAATTAAAACTTTCAGTGTGTATATAAAAATTTAGTGAATTGGTCTTACTAGATTAGTTATGGCATGAAATTCAATTGTAAATGAGTTGAGTCACATGGGAAAGAGATTAATGGATAAATATTTATGCTACACAAATTATTAGAAAAAGTCAAATTGTGGGGGCTACTGTTTAGGGCTCATCCCCATCCTCCTAGGTTATGGTTAGGAAGCTACTTTACACTGGTTCATCTTTGGTGGTTTCATTTAGCTTACTTCAAATGAGAGCCCATGCGATGTAAAAATTAAGTGACACAGATAGTTCTGCAGACAGTAGACGGGATAAAAGAACCGAAGAGCATAGTACTAAACATTTACCTTAGCCATTCATACAAATTCTAGAAAAATGACTACATATCCATTTTATGGCTTGGAGTTCTTTTCCAGTTCATCTTACAGAAAAGTGTACCCCATAAAAGTAGCTGAAATAATAGATTCCTCCCTTAAAGAAAGCTATGTATTAAGCTCGTGAGCTATGCCCCAGTGCAAAGGAATGCCCTAGTTTCCCTTCACACACTGGACAAAAGTGACAATGCTGATTTCTGTGGGTGGAAATGAAACTCAGAAGCCCTTTGAAAGTTCTCTACTAGGTTTAAAAGGCCACTTCATTGTCAGCTGGGAAGACAGCTGTGGTCGCAACTGGGCATACCACTCAACAGACTTTACAAAGATTTTTCTTTTCTGTACTGAATATTTACACCTAGATTTTTTATGTGAGAAAAGGAACAAGTTGATTCATGGGCAAAGTTTATATCAAATAAATTAAAGTGCAGAAGATTAATATGCAGTCCCAAAGACCAGCATCATATTGTGTCAGGGCATATAAATACCGTGTACTTGTTAACGGCAACTCAGGACAGCACCGTCTCACCTGTTACAAACACACATCCTAACACACGCATTCTACACAGGTACTGGGACTCCTACGTGTTACACATGGATATTGGAACTCCCATTTCCACCTCCACTTTCCATGCCTTCTGTAGACTGGGAGGAAGAAGGGCGGGAGCTTCTGGGGTGAGGTTGACCATCCGGTCCCACTGGCGTGCCTAAGCCGTGACTGATCTGGGAAGCTGCATCGTCAGATTCCCAGCGCTCCAACTCTTCCCTCACCAGCCGTTCCATCTGCTCCCTGTGGATCTCACTGTCACGACCCAGTCTTTCATCCTAATAAAGGAAAAGAAACCAGGGTATTGGGGTCTGGGAAACGCGTGGTGTTACATTCAGAAATTGTGTTAGGAAATCTGGGGGCCAGATAATTTACGGTTAGGTCAAGCTAGAGATTTACAGCATACAAACACAATTCTTAGTTGCTGGAGTAATTTTTCACTTAATTCTACCCTCCAGTGGAAGTGTACTGTCATGATGGTGTACATGCGCCATTACGAAACTACATGGGGCCAGCAGGTGGCAAAGTGGCTAAGGGCAATGGATTCCCACATGGTCAACTGCAGTTTGAGTCCTGGACCTGGTGGCTTGCTTTCTTACTTTCTCTCTCTCTTTCTCACTCTGTCCCTCTCCAGTAAAATTTTAAAAAATTAGTAAATCATTAAATAAAGCTAAATAATTCTTTAAAAAAAAAAAAAAGAAAGAAAGAAAGCAAGCAAGCAAGCAACACCTTGCTGGCATGGTAGTTAGGGCATTTGGACAAGAAAGCATGGCCAACCACAGTTCAACTCCTGGGTCTGGAGACTTATTTTCTCACTTTCTCTCTCTCTCTGTGTCTCTCTCTGGTCCAATTAAAATAAATGAATGAATAAATAAAAATTAAATAAAATAATTCTTAAAGAAAGAAAAAAGCAACATCATGGAGAAAGCCAAACATCTATAGTTAAGAGGTATAAAGTAACTATCTTGATATATTTTTTTCTTTGTTTGTTTTTTTTTAATTGCCAGAGAGTATGTATGCTATCCAGAGAGACAGAGAGAAAATAAACCCTTTTCCCAGGGCATGGTCATGCTATGATCCCTTCTCCTCCATTTCTCTATCCTGTTGGGATTTGGGGCATGTACACATACTTTTCTGGCATGCCATTCAAGCCACTGGGGCAGAACTCCAACAGTGGTCAGCTGTGGGATCTGGCTCCCTTAACCCCTAAGCTACAAGGCTGACCCTCTACCTTGATATTTTACAGACTCTATACGTATTTCTGTTTTAGAGAAAAAAATGTGAAAATGAGAGTAAACAGAAAAATGATTGTTCATTTATCTTTATGTAAAGTTCGTTTTTATTCTCTGATAGTTCAAATAGAAAACAATGTCGCCAACATATATTGGGTCATCAGAAAACTCATGACTTAATGCAAAAATGCATCATGACTTTTCTGATGACCCACTTTGAGCCTAACCACTGTGGCACAGTGGCAATGCTGGTGCCCTGCAAGGCCGGAAGCCATATGGTGACTGTGGTTTGGATCCCAGGTCAGCCTGAAAATGCACTTGGTGCATTTGTCCTGAGGAGATGGAGGGCTGGGGTAAGGGGAACACAGAGTGATGAGACCCTGCTGAGGTTGCTTTCTTTCTTGTGTGTGTTAGCACGTGCTCTCTCTCATAAAACAAACAAACAAACACCTTGCTCAGCTTTTACACCTATGACCACTCACCTCAGCCACTCCATCCAGCAGCCTCCCCAGCACCTCCCTTCTCTTCAGCTTGGCCCGTTCCATGATCTCCAACTTCACTATCACAGCGTCAATCTTGGACACGATGCTGCCGATGGAGTGCTCCATTCGGTCCACTCTTCTCACCAGGCTGCAGGAAGCCACAGTTAGAAGGGTCACACCAAGGTGTCGTTGTCTTTTGAAATGGAGATGCTATGGGCTTTTTCTTAGTGCGATAATCTGCAACACTTTCTAAGTGGTCCCAAGCTTTAGAGATAAACTCTCAAACACTGCTGCTGGGAGTATCAGCTTTCCTTCAAATCAACAATTTATCAAAAGTCTTAAAAATATATGCTGGGGCCATGTGGTGGCACAGCGGTAATGTATCTGCACTTACATGGAGAGGGGACTGGGTTCAGGTCCTGGGACCTGCCTGAGCACACTAGGTATGCATGTATGCTTGTGATCTGGGCTGAGGGTGGCTCATGGTGTGAGGACCCTGTTGGGAATGCTTGTCTTGTGTCTCCTTCTCCCCCTCCTTTTAAAAAGACATTTATTTATTTCTTTATCTATTTATCTGTTGTATTTTCAAGCCGCTGGGTTTGGGACTCAAACTGTGGTAGGCTATGTGCGAAGCCAGTGCCTTAACCACTATGTCACCCATTAGCCCCTTTCTCTCGCTCAAGGAAGAAATAAACTAAAAAAAAAAGTATGCCTACCATTTTGTTCAGATATTCCATTTTCATAAATTTCTCCGAAGGCATATTTCATAAGTATTTTGTAATTTTTGGCTACAAAGTTATTCACTAGAGTGTTGGTTAATAATGGATCACTGGGCCAGCCCCACGGCCTTATGGTTTAGAGAGCCAGCTGTTACATGGCCAACCATGTGGTTTGAATTCCAGACGCGGTGACTTGAAAAACATGTCATTTTGTATATGTTAAGTCCTAGAGCAATACTAAGAAAATAACTTTAAAAATAGTGAAAAAAATCATTAAAACAAGTAAACTGGTACCCTAGAACATTCACTTAAATTTAAAAAAGCAATAAAGTGAGAACAGAGGAACATAAAAGACATAGGTATACAGGAAATTAAAAAAAAAAAAATTGCAGATGTTAATTCAAACAGCAAGCCTAAGAAAGCTGGAAGGGCTATAGTTACATCAGACCAAAGGACTTCAAAACAAAAATTTGTATAGGAGATAGAGTGAACATCTTATAATGTAAACAGGGTCAGTCTAACGGGAAGATATTCTAATTACAAACATGTATACACCTAATAAAAGAGTTCTAAAATACACAAAGCAAAATCTCATATAATTTACAAGATAAACCAGGCAATCTAATAATAATAGTTGGAGACTTTAATAGTACACTTTTGAAAATGGGAAGAATATGTAGGAGGAATATTGACAAGGAATCAAGACTTGAATAACACTATAAACCAACTAGACTCAACAAAAATCTTCAGAATAGTCAGCAACAACAGCATATAAATTTTTCTCAAGGTTACACAGAACATTCTCTAGGATAAACGATATGTTAGTCCACAAAAACATAAGAAATCATTGATAAACACATGCAAATAGAGTTACAAACACTAAAACAGTAATAGACACCTTTGAGTGGCAGGAATATGGAAGACTTTAATGTTTTCTTTTGCTGTTACTTATTTGCTAATTTTCCTATAATGAACAAACTACTTCTCTAAAGAGAAAAAATAACACCAATACAAGTCATAAAAGTAACTGATTAGTAATGAATGGAGAAAGATGAAGGAAAATTGCTCAGTCTTTTAGATTCTCATTAACCCAAATTCTGCCAATTCACTTATACTTACACTTGAAACTCTTCATAAGAAACCCCGCTGGAGATGCTCCCCCTCCTTCTGGAGCTGTGCCCACTGTCTTCATCATCATCCTCCTCGGAGTCATCCAGGCTTCGTGGGAAGCTTCGGCTGCTCATGGGACGTGGTAAGGAGCTGTGGTCCAGGTCCAGGTCCTCCTAAAGAACATGTCATGGAGTGAGGAGCAGGGACACCTGAGACCCCACAAAGCTTCCTCAAGGGCTTGGCCAAGTAGAAATGGGTATGTGCCATTTACCCAGGATGTCTTTGTGGTTAATGCCAGGGTGGGATTCCCAGCCTTTACAATTTCCATGGATTGGAAAATTTTCACAACAGATTTTTTTTTTTTTTTTAAGAGGTTTTTGCTTTGGGCCACATGCACACACCAGAAAGACAGAGAGAAATAAACTAAAAAAAAAAGTATGCCTACCATTTTGTTCAGATATTCCATTTTCATAAATTTCTCCGAAGGCATATTTCATAAGTATTTTGTAATTTTTGGCTACAAAGTTATTCACTAGAGTGTTGGTTAATAATGGATCACTGGGCCAGCCCCACGGCCTTATGGTTTAGAGAGCCAGCTGTTACATGGCCAACCATGTGGTTTGAATTCCAGACGCGGTGACTTGAAAAACATGTCATTTTGTATATGTTAAGTCCTAGAGCAATACTAAGAAAATAACTTTAAAAATAGTGAAAAAAATCATTAAAACAAGTAAACTGGTACCCTAGAACATTCACTTAAATTTAAAAAAGCAATAAAGTGAGAACAGAGGAACATAAAAGACATAGGTATACAGGAAATTAAAAAAAAAAAAATTGCAGATGTTAATTCAAACAGCAAGCCTAAGAAAGCTGGAAGGGCTATAGTTACATCAGACCAAAGGACTTCAAAACAAAAATTTGTATAGGAGATAGAGTGAACATCTTATAATGTAAACAGGGTCAGTCTAACGGGAAGATATTCTAATTACAAACATGTATACACCTAATAAAAGAGTTCTAAAATACACAAAGCAAAATCTCATATAATTTACAAGATAAACCAGGCAATCTAATAATAATAGTTGGAGACTTTAATAGTACACTTTTGAAAATGGGAAGAATATGTAGGAGGAATATTGACAAGGAATCAAGACTTGAATAACACTATAAACCAACTAGACTCAACAAAAATCTTCAGAATAGTCAGCAACAACAGCATATAAATTTTTCTCAAGGTTACACAGAACATTCTCTAGGATAAACGATATGTTAGTCCACAAAAACATAAGAAATCATTGATAAACACATGCAAATAGAGTTACAAACACTAAAACAGTAATAGACACCTTTGAGTGGCAGGAATATGGAAGACTTTAATGTTTTCTTTTGCTGTTACTTATTTGCTAATTTTCCTATAATGAACAAACTACTTCTCTAAAGAGAAAAAATAACACCAATACAAGTCATAAAAGTAACTGATTAGTAATGAATGGAGAAAGATGAAGGAAAATTGCTCAGTCTTTTAGATTCTCATTAACCCAAATTCTGCCAATTCACTTATACTTACACTTGAAACTCTTCATAAGAAACCCCGCTGGAGATGCTCCCCCTCCTTCTGGAGCTGTGCCCACTGTCTTCATCATCATCCTCCTCGGAGTCATCCAGGCTTCGTGGGAAGCTTCGGCTGCTCATGGGACGTGGTAAGGAGCTGTGGTCCAGGTCCAGGTCCTCCTAAAGAACATGTCATGGAGTGAGGAGCAGGGACACCTGAGACCCCACAAAGCTTCCTCAAGGGCTTGGCCAAGTAGAAATGGGTATGTGCCATTTACCCAGGATGTCTTTGTGGTTAATGCCAGGGTGGGATTCCCAGCCTTTACAATTTCCATGGATTGGAAAATTTTCACAACAGATTTTTTTTTTTTTTTGAGAGGTTTTTGCTATAGGGCACATGCACACACCAGAAAGACAGAGAGAGACAGAGTGACAGAGAGCGAGAAGTCACCTCCCAGGGGGGATGGCCACACCGCAATCCCTTCTCCTCTCAGGATCTTGGGCACACATGCACATGTGCCTGGCATGAGTTTAAGCCACCGGGTCCAGGACTTGAACTGTGGTCAACTACATGGGAGTCCAGCGACATAGCCGTTACGCCAAGTGCTGGTCCCACACAACAGATTTTTAACAACCAGTAGGGAGTTACTTTTCATGTAGAGAAGAAAGAACATTAAAAAACTAACAAAGCAAAGAATAATAACTCAGAATAAGACTTTTCTTTTTTTTTTTTTTTTTGAGAGGTTTTTGCTATAGGGCGCATGAGCTCACCAGACAGAGAGAGACAGAGAGACAGAAAGCAGGAAATCACCCCCAGGGGGGGTGGCCACACCGCAATCCCTTCTCCTCCATTCTCCTCTTGGGATCTTGGGCACGCACGCACATGCGCCCGGCGTGAGTTTAAGCCACCGGGTCTGGGACTCGAACCGCAGTCGACTACGTGGGAGTCCAGCGACATAGCCATTACGCTAACTGCTGGTCCCAGAATAAGACTTTTCTTAGGGGCTGGCAGGTGGCATGGTGGTTAAAGGCGCTGGACTCCCACATATAGCCAACAGTGGTTGGAGTCTCGGACCTGGTGGCTTGCTTTCTCACTCTCTCTGTCCCTCTCTGGTCAAATTAAAATAAATAAATAAAGTTAAATAAAATAATTCTTTTTTAAAAATAAGATTTTCCCTAAACATACCCTTATGAAAGTTTTACTTACTGTTTTTGTGTGGACCTCACTCCCACTGGAGAAGTTTGTCAGCTACTGGCACTATTCAGTGGAGAGGCATTTGGAAACTTCCAATCTATACTTTTTCTCATAGGAAAGTGACTCTTGTATTTAACATTCATGTGTATTTTCTGTACCTCCATTATCACATTAAAAATTTGTTTAATCATTATTTTTGAAAGTTAGTGGTAAAGCATTTTTTAAAAATTGCGAGGGCTGACTACAGTTTGAGTCCTAGATCCGGTGGCTTGAAAATCACACTGGGAGCATGTGTGTGCATGCCCGTAATCCAGGGAGGAAAATGGAGGAGAAGGGATCGTGGAATGGCCATCTTCCCCGGGGCGTAATTTCTCACTTTCCCTCTCGTTGTCTTTCTCTGTCTCTCTCCAGCCAGCTCATGAGCCCTATGGCAAGAATCTTAAAAAAGTTATTTTTTTGCCAGAGGTGTGTGTGCTTGCCAGAGAGAAACCGAGAAGGGGAGAAGAAAGCACCCCCCCCAATGGGGCGTAGTCATGCCACAACCCCTTCTCCTCCATTTTTCTATCCTGTTGAGATATTGAGCAAGCACACGCATTGCCAGCTACTGATTCCTGGATTCAAATGCAGTCGACCATGTGGGATCTGGCACTGGGCCAGCCCAACTGTAAAGCTCCTAATTATTATTTTTTTTCTGAGTACAAAAGCCCACAGAAATTTACTTGTAACTACATTGTAATAAGAATTCAAATGAGATGGTGCAATTAAATTCATTTAGTTTTTTAATTTATGTTTTTGTCTTAGGGCTCATGCACTTGTTAGAGAGAGAGAGAGAGAGAGAGAGAGAGAGATAGGAAATGTGAGAAACTACCCCAGAGTGGGAATGATCATGCCACAATCCCTTCTCCTCCATTTTCTTCCTAGGATTTTAGGCACACACACATGCACCTGGTGTGATTTTCTTTTTTTTTTTAAAGACAGATTTTTGCTATAGGGTGCATGTGCTCTTTGGAAAGACAGAGAGAGGCAGAGAGACAGAAAGTGAGAATTCACCCCGCAGGGGGATGGCCACACCGCAATCCCTTCTCTATTCTCCTCTTGAGATTTTGGGCACACACACACACCGGGTGTGAGTTTCAAGCTGCTGGGTCCGGACTTGAACTGTGGTCGGCCATGTAGGAGTCCAGTGACATAACCATTATGCCATCTGCTCGTCCCAATCTGATGTGATTTTCAAGCCTCTGGGTCTGGGACTCAAACCACAAAATCAGCTATGGCGATCCAGCTGCCTTAACCACCACATCACCTGTTGATTCATAATTTTATTTCCTTGACAATGTTAATCATTTAAACAACGGCTAACTAACCAGGATAATGTTATATCTCCTGATAAGCCTTTTTTCCCCCCCTCACTTTCATGGATATTGAAAACTATGCAACTAGTGGGAGCCAGCAGTTGGCGTAATGGCTGTGTCGCTGGACTCTCACGTAGTCGACCGTGGTTCGTGTCCCGGACCTGGTGGCTTGGAACTCAGGCCGGGGGCGTGTGTGTGCGTGGCCAAGATCCCAAGAGGAGAATGGAGAAGGGATTGCGGCATGACCATCCCCCCTGGGGGGTGATTTCTCGCTTTCTATCTCTATGTCTCTCTCTGTCTGTCTGGCGAGCGCACACGCCCTATAGCGAAAACCTCTCCCCCTCTCCAAAAAAAAAAAAACCAAAAAAAATCCCAAAAAAAAACTATTCAACTAATCAGGCTTCTCTTTTCAACCTGGTGACTAGAGAGCTTAGAGTCAAACTTGTAGCCCAATAGAAAGAAAGATTGTTTTTTGTTTTGTTTTGCTTTTTGGTTTGTTTGCTTTGCTATGGGGTGCATGTGCTCACTGGAGAGACAGAAAAAAGTGAAAGATCACTTCCTATCCCGGGGAGATGGCCATTTCACAATCCCTTGTCCTCCATTTTCCTTTCAGGATTTTGGGCATGCATGCACAAGCACTCAGAGTGAGTTTCAAGCCACTGGGTCGCAACTCAAACCACGGCTGACTACATGGGAGTGCAGTGTACTGTCACCATTACGCCATCTGCTGGTCCCTAGATTTGTTTTTATAAAAAATCATTTTTTGAGCTTCATTCAAAATGTACTATTTTCACTTTTGTTTTGCTTCACTCATCATTTTGACTTTTTCACATTCGTGCTTATTTCACTTTTACACATGACTGTGCTCTACAAGGAGTCTCCAAAAATTCACGAAAAATGTACATTTATAAAAAGAAAACATGTGTGGATTTCAAAATTGTTTTGCACCAAAATATACTTGTACTTTAATCTATATTCCCATACCTTGCAAAGTTTCCATGTGTCTCTCCTTTGTGGACTAAGCAGAATACTCATACGTAAATTACTGGTAGAGAGAAAGAGAAAGAGGGAAAACGAGACAGACACTCGAGGGGCCACTCCCTTGTATAGTATTTGATACACAGTGCGTGCTGCATTAGTGAGCTTTCTCCTAAATGAGACTCACCCTCTCTCTCTCCAAGTCATCTCTCATCTGCTGATGTTCGTGCTCGGTCAGTTCTTGGTCTCCGTCTTGGTCATATTTCGTGAATATTGCCTCAATCTCTGCATCAGTATGGCCCTTCCTGAAACGATCGAGAGGATACAGATAAACCCTGTCTTGTCCATGCTCCAACCCAAACACAGACATCAAAACAAAGAAGGAAAGGAGTAATTGTTGAGTAGGAGCCAGTCCACCTCTTAGAATATATTCCAGAAGGACATCTGCCTCTGGGGAAAAAAAAAGCGCCTCTCTATGAATGCTTAGACAGAAATAGTCTTATCACCTTGAATTTACGTTCCAAATAGGAATTTTCCAGGGACTTGAAAAGGGCAGTTCTTTTTTTTTTTTTTTTTTTAAAATTTACTTTTTTAATTTTTTTTTTTTCATTCATTTATTTTAATTTGACAAGCGAGAGAGAGAGAGAGAGAGAGAGAGAGAGAGAGAGAGAGGGTGGGAGAGAGAGAGAGAAAGTGAGAGAGAGAGAAAGTGAGAGAGAGAGAAAGTGAGAAAGCAAGCCGCCAGGTCCGGGATTCAAACCACAGTTGGCCATGTGGGAGTCCAGCAGCCCTAACCACCATGCCACCTGCTGGCCCCGGGCAGTTCTTACCCTTTGAGATCTTGTCGAAGTTCATCAAAGTTTAATTTGCCTCCCCCTTGCCGGAGACTCTCTGAAATGTCATCCACAGTATTTTTCTTCAGTTTTAGTTTGACCAGTGCTTTATGGTAGCCCTGTCAGAAAAAAGAAAAAAAGGAAAAAAAAGGACAGTGACGTGGTTTAGTTCATTTTCCTTCTGCATTTGCTTTACCTTCTGTTCACGGTAGCTACGATAACCTAGCGCCTGGGGAACGGTGGACCCTCAGTATCTATGTGCTGAATGAAAGAACTGAACGCATCCTTAGTTTCCATAAAGTCTTGTGGAAGAGCTATATGAAACAAGTCAGAGTCTCAATAATTCAAGAACTAAGAACGTTTTCCTCGTATCCGTATTTTAGTTCTGGTGACAGAAATGAAAACCACTCCATAGTCCAGAGTTGTCTACTTCAAAACATATAGGAACATGCAACGGTTCTTTTTTTTTTTTTTTTTTTTAAGGGGGTTTTTCTCTGTGGGTGTGTATACGCTTGAGAGAGAGAGAGAGAGAGAGAAAAAGAGAGAGAGAGAGAGAGAGAGAGAGAGAGATGGGAAGTGAGAAATCACCCCAAGGGGGAATGGCCATGCTGCAGTCCCTTCTCCTTCAGTCTCCTCTCGGGATTTTGGGCACTCACACACATGTGCCCGGTGTGAGTTTTAAGTTGCCGGGTCCGAGACTTGAACCACAGTTGACTCTGTGGGAGTCCAGCGATGTAATCATTACACCATCTGCTTGTCCCGGTTCTTAAGAATAACAAGAAATCAAGGACTGACTTTGTGGTGCAGTGGTAACGTGCTGCTCAAGACAAGCTGGATCCTACATGGCCACCACAGTTCGAATCCCCTCTGGGTCAGCGTGGAACATGTTGGCATTCTGTGAGTGCCCATGACCTGAAGGGCTGGAGGCCTGGGGGAAGGGGCTCTCTGCATGAACAGGCCCTGTGGAGAGTGCTCATCTCGGCCGCTTTTCCTAGTCTCATCTGCGTGTGCATGTGTTGTATCATGCATAAAGGAAAAAAAAGGATTGTGGGTCAACTGGTGGTATGATGGTTTTAAGGCAGATCCCATAGGGCCAACTATGTGGTTAGAGTCCTAGCCCTGGTGACTTGAGAAACGCACCCAGTGGGTGTGTGTGCATGCCCAAAATTCCGAAGGAGGGAGAAGTGGAGAAGGCTTGCCATCTGGTCTTCCTTGTGGGGGGTGCTTTCTCACTTTCTCTGTCTTTCTCCAGTGATCACATGTGCCCTCTGGCAAATCACAAATGTCTTTAGAAAAAAAGAAGAAAGAAAGAAAGAAGGAAAGAAAAAGATTGTTTTTAGCTGATTTAAAGACAACAATTTAAAAAAATACCAAGAGACTTGAGTCATGAATTGCTTGTTTTCTTTTTTGTTATTGCTATCTCATAATCAGTGATTTCCTTATATGATATGCATGGAGAACAAAAAGTCCCAGGCCCATTCTCAGTGCAGGGCTGGAAGCCATCTGGCCGACAGTGGGTTCAGACCCCCAACTGATTGAAAACAGACCAGATGTAGGCATGCCCAAGATCCTTACAAGCAGGAGGCCTGGGAGTAAGGGGATTCCGTGTAATCAGAGCCTGTTGGGAGGTACCTGTCTCTGTCCCTCTCTGTCTGTCTGTCTCTCTCAAGTGCAATGTGCACGTCCTCTCTCACACTCTCACTTGTGAAATGAATACACAAACATAAAGAAAGAAAGAAAATGCCAGTGAGATGAGGGTGAGGACTCTTCACTAACAAACTACAGGCAGACCTTGCTTGGAACAGTGGTGCTGGACTGTAAAATAACTTTGCAAGCTGAAACGGTACAAAGTGACCAGAACAATCGATGAGAAAAATTCTAATTGTTCCATGATTTTTGAAACTTTTTGTAAAAATAACGAAAACTCCTAAGAATCAGTTATACATTTGGGGGGAGGAGATCAAAACATTTCAGAAGGTACAGAAAGGTCAAAGACAGATGAGGAGGACGATGAGAGCCGACCTCCTCCACCAGGGCGAATCTCACCTCCCAGACTTGCAGTGCTTTTCAGCAACTCATTTTCTTGCAAGGAAATGAAACAATTTATTAAATTTACAGGGGAAACTTAAACAACTTAGCACACTGAAATTTAGCAACATTAAAAATTAGGCCAGTTCTATAGCACAGTATTTAAGCACTGTGTATGGGAAACTAGATCCCACATGGTTGAGCAGAGTTCAAGTCCAGGTCCCGGTGGCTTGAAAAACGCCATTTGCACACACGTGTGCCCTGGTTCCTGACAGGGTAGAGACTGAAGGGGAAAGGACTGGACCATGGCATACATGGTCAGGCCCCATCGCTTTCTTCCCCTCTCATGTGAGCGTGAGTACACTGTGCCTGAGCCTTCTCGTCGTATAAATCATACATGTATTGAGTCCCTGTTGTATGCCTTACCGTATGCACACATGGAGCGAATATCTTTTCTATGCCTAGGTGAACTGCTGTACTCTGCTCTAACTAGAGATCAGCTTTCCACATTTTTCTGTGCCTTCATTATTCATAAATAAGAGTTCCTATGCCAGGAAGTTTTTGGGGAGCCACTTTTCCCAAGACATTTTCACAGCAACTGCTCTCATCCTGTATGTTGATAAATTCGCCTTCCCTAAGTTTCTCTGGCTGCATGTCCGATCTCCCGAGGGTCCACATTCTCATGGCCGGCTGTAAATCTGACACATTTGTTTTGAATTTCACTTCCTGTCTTCTGTTTTGTTTCTCTGCTGTACTTTCATCTTTGCTGGCCTCCTCTGTTTCAATCATGAGTTTGTAAAATGTCACGCGGGTTTATTACTGGGAGACAAGGAAGCAACACAACGTGCTTTGTTTGTGTATGAACTCAACAGCAGATGTTCAGGGACCAGTCAGAACGGACGGGAAGTGGCCGCACGGTGGCTCGTGGGGTGCAATGAGGAGCTGTTACGTGTGCAAGGACCTGGAGACTGAGAGTGAGCAGTGGAGTGTGTGCTTTGTGCTGTTATTCATGTTTATTGTACTCTGAGAACTGACATTCGAACTGTGCTGGTGAGGGCCTGGTGTTTAACAAAACCGTAATTACTGAAATGTGTGCCTATCAGAACTCGGCAGAGTGAGGGGTGTTAATGTACACACTGCTGATTTGCTAAAATGCAATCAACGATTAGAATTCTGGAAAACAGGTGGTGTGGTGGTTGAGGGGCTGGACTCCCACGCGGCTGGCGGTGGTTGGAGTCTCAGACGCAGCAGCTTGTTTTCTCACTCACTCTCTCTCTCTTTGTGGTGAGTGCATGTGCCCTGTGGCTACTTAAAAAAGAAACAATAAATAAAATTAAATAAAAAAAAAAAAAGAATTCAGGGTAACACAAATCATAGATCCATGTGAGACCTTGTTTTAAGAGGCTGAAGGTTTTATTTATTTTTTTCTAGAGGTTTTTGCTAAAGGGTGCATGCACTCGCCAGAAAGAGAGAGACAGAAAGTGAGAAATCACCCCCCGTGTGTGTGTGTGTGTGTGTGTGTGTGTGTGTGTGTGGCCATGCCACAATCCCTTCTCCTCCATTCTCTTCTTGGGATCTTGGACACACATGTACACGTGCCCAGTATGGGTTTAAGCCACCGGGTCCAGGACTTGAACTGCGGTCAACTACATGGGAGTTCAGTGACATAGCCATTACGTCAACTGCTGGTCCAAGAGGCTGAAGTTTTATTACAACATGAATGACAGCCCAGTTGCAGTGGTGCAGGCAGCAGGACTCCACATGGGAGACCGGGTTTTGATCCCAGGTCCAACCTGAATATGCTGAATGAGTGTGAGCGTGCTTGTGATCCTGGCTGGCTGGAGACTGGGGAAGGACTATGGCATGAGACCCTGGAAGGGCACCTTTCTCTCTCTTTTTCTTGAAAGAAGAAAATGAAATAAACTTCAAATGAAATAAAACAAAATAGAAAAAACTCCACATGATTCACAGGCAACATAGTCCGAAGGCTCAAACAGGAAAACAATTCAGTTAAGGAGTCACGATATCTTAGCCAAATGAGGTTCGAGAACAAGCTTTGTGCTTTACATGTAGTTTTTATTGTTGTATAAGTTTTATGCTTTAAACCCAACTAAAAAAGTCACTTTGAAAAGAACTATCCAGCTCTCCAGTCCTGCCCTTCTGTTTATCAAGCCCTTCCTTTCTTTTTTTTTTCCTTTTTAAAATTCTTCTGAGAGACTTTTGCTATAGGGCACATACACTCACCAGAGAGAAAGAGAGAAAGAAAGTGAGAAATCACCTCCTAGGGGGGATGGCCGCATTGCAACTCCTTCTCCTCCGTTCCCCTCTCAGGAATTTTGGCACGCACACACATGCACCTGGCATGAGTTTCAAGTCACCAGGTCTGCAACTAGAACTGTGGTTAACTTCATGGAAGTCCAGTGCCTTAACGACTATGCCACTTGCTGGCCCCAACAAGCCCTTTCTAAGAAGGTGTGTTAGTAAAAGTCCTCAGGTCCCTGGGCTACAGCTTGAATTCATTGACCTTTACCTTTTTTTTTTTTTTTTTTTTTTGAGGTCAGTGCGCCAGTGCTTACCAGAGAGAGGCACAGGGAGACAGAGAAAGAGAGAGAGAGAGGGAGGGAGTGAGAGGGAAAGCGAGGGAGTAGCCCCAGGGACCTGGGGGGAAGTACCCCCAGTGACCTGTGGTCACACTGCAATTCCTTCTCCTCCATTTTGCCACCCTGTTGGGATTTGCTGCATGCATGCACACTTGCTTGGCTTATTTTTCATGTTGGCAGGGTCGGTATTTGAACAGAAGTTGGCTATGTGGGATTTGGCTCCTTCAACTACTAGGCTACAGAGCCAGCCCCTGTCAATTCTTAATTTTAAACAATTTCTTTTTTATTTTATGTGTGTATATATGTGTGTGTGTATGAATGTATTTTGCTAGATGGTGCAGGCACTTGTAAGAAAGAGAGACAGACAGGGGTGGAGGCCAGATGAGAAAGCACCTTCCGTGGGGGATGGCTACACTGCAATCTCGTCTCCATTTCTCCCTCTTTTTGGGATTCTGGGTACACATACCCATGCATCTGACATGCTTCTCAAGCCACTGGGTCTGAGACTAACCACACAGTCGGCCACGTGGTATCCAGCCACCCTAACCACCATGCCACCAGCTAGCCAACTTTAAACCACTGCGATGAATCAATGTTAATTTGGAAGACTGGCTAAAACAATGCTCCATTTTATGCAGGAAATACAATAATTCTGAGAACTAGGGCTTGTCTTACCTTTCTGATAAGATCTGAGAGTTCCATTTCAGCTTTCTGCTGGGCCATATCTGATTTCACTTCAGAATAAGTATCATTGATGATGGCCAAAAACATATTCTGTTCATAAACCGAAAGAAAGCAGAGATTAAAGGGAGAAATACATATTTTGTAAATACCGATCCAAAATTTGACACAAGTTTTTCTGTTCACCTTTCGCCCCCTACCCTGAGTACTTCACGAAGTCACATATTAATAGTTTTGTTACCATATTCTTTGGGAAAATTATTTTCTTCATTAAATCACGCCAAAGGGATATATAATATATATTTTTACTTGCAAAACCATATACTGTGATACAGTTTGCAAAGTGAGACAAATATTAGTGTATTTATCGATAACGGGTGGATTTCTTGTTTTTCTTATTTATATGCTGTACGGTTTCAAAATTTACATAAGTTACTATGAGTTTAGAATTCCAAAAAGCTCTTCGAATTTCAGAAGCCAACAAAGACAAGTAGAATTCTACGCTTACTCTAAACTTTGCTATATAGTCAAGGATTTACAGAACATACTTTAAAGAGTTAAAAAACCTCTTAAAGTAGGAAAACGGTATGAAGATAGTGAAGAAAACCTTTATGGAAAAGCAGACTTTGGAGCCAAGCAAACTTGGGTTTCAGTTTTGGCACTGCCAAGAATATGATGATTAACTTTTCAAAGTCTCTCTCTCTTTTTTAGTTTTGCTATAAGGCATGTGTGCTTGCTAAAGAGAGAGAGATGGAAAGAAAGACAGAGATATATCACCCCTCCACCCAGAGGAGATGGCCATGCCACAGTCTCATCTCTTCCATTCCTCTTGGGATTTTCGGCATGCACATATGTGCATCTAGCCTGTGTTTTAAGCCTTGGGGTCTGGGAGTCAAACTTTGAAATCAGCCATATGAGATCCAGCTGTCTTAACCATCATGTCACTGCCTGGCCCTAGAAATCTCTCTCTCTCTCTCTCTTTTTAAATTTTTTTTTTGAGAGGTTTTCGCTATAGGGCGCGTGCGCTCGCCAGACAGGCAGAGAGAGACAGAGAGACAGAAAGCGAGAAATCACCCCCCAGGGGGGATGGCCATGCCACAATCCTTTCTCCTCTATTCTCCTATTGGAGTTAATAGCCTTTTGGAATAAAATATTAGATTCCTGGATAGGGAAGGAAAATAAGGAAGGTGCAATTATTTTCCCTTGAAATTAACCATTCAGGACAGAAACTTACTTGTATTCTATATTCTATTCTCATCTCTTCTACAGAAGCTGAAATGATTTTTTTTCTTATTCAATAAAAGATTTAGTAGGCCATTAAAATAAAGAGAACCCTCATTTTTGCATTGATCCACCATTTAGTAAGTATTTGCTGAGCCACTATATTCCAATATACGTAGATTATGTGGAGTATGTATTATAGACTATGAAGCAATGCTTTGATATTTAGCAATACTGAAGATACTGTGGTTAGGGAA